TTATGGGGCGACTTTGGAGGGTGACCCCGGCTGAAGGAACTGTGAAATTGGGTTCAGAGGCGAGAACCTCGACTAGGGAAATGGAGTAATAGGGAGTAGTCCAGGTGGGGAGATCCGAACGAGGGGAAAAAAGGCAATTGAGAAGGGGTTTGGCTTTGTCTTAGGCTTGGGGAATAGGGTACGAAGGAAGGGGTATGGGTACGTTCCTGGCTATGAGGGTCCGGGGGTTCGGAAAGTCTATGGTTCATACAACAATTATTGTTTGTTCAAGATGGAGTTCAGTTCGTTCGTTCAAAGTTAGATCGATTCTTCCGTAACCGAGCTTGTGTATTTTTGCTTAGATGTCTAATTACTAATCTTCCTAGGGAATCGGATTTTTCTTCCACTTCCTCTTTCTTTATAGTTTCCAAAGCATTTCTCACGGGATTTGTAGTGATACGTTAATTCATATTTCACATTCTTGACGTAAATCAAAATGTACCCAAATCTCTCTTACTTTAGTCTACCCTCAAATCATACCTCCCGTTTTCTTTTCTCTCTACATCTCGTTTTCTTTGACCGCACACCACCGCGCTTCAGTCACCGTTTTTCAGTGAAAGAAAACAATTATATCGCTTCATTAAAAATTAAAAGAGTTACACCGGGATTTAACATTTTGAACTTTTACAAAAGAAGAAGAAAAAAATCAAAAACGAAAATGGTCTTGATGAAATAGAGAAACCCCCCAAAAAACAATCATCTAAATTATTTAAAACGAGGAAGCAAAATCGCAAGAATAATACGAAGAGAAAAATGCAGAAACAGCAATTTGGACAACTCAGATATTTATGGTTTGGGATCAATATCAATTAATTTCATAAAGCCGAGATTTCTGGAATCCGAATTCCGTGAGATGAAAGGAAGAGAAAGAAAAAAGTAAGAGAGAGAGAGAGAGAGAGAGAGAAGAGAGAGAGAGAGGAGAGAGAGAGAGAGAGAGAGAGAGAGAGAGAGAGAGAGAGAGAGAGAGAGAGAGAGAGAGAGAGAGAGAGAGAGAAGAGAGAGAGAGAGAGAGAGAGAGAGAGAGAGAGAGAGAGAGAGAGAGGAGAGAGGAAGAGGAGAGGGAGAGGGAGAGGGAGAGAGAGAGGAGAGAGAGAGAGAGAGAGAGAGAGAGAGAGAGAGAGAGAGAGAGAGGAGAGAGGAGAGAGAGAGAGAGAGAGAGAGAGAGAGAGAGAGAGGAGAGAGAGGAGAGAGAGGGAGAGGAGAGAGAGAGAGAGAGAGAGAGAGAGAGAGAGAGAGAGAGAGAGAGAGAGAGAGAGAGAGAGCGGAGAGAGAGAGGAGAGAGAGAGAGAAAGAGAGAGAGGGAGAGAGAGAGGGAGAAGGGAGAGGGAGAGGGAGAGAGAGGGAGAGGGAGGGGGAGAGGGAGAGGAGAGAGGTGAGAGAGAGAGAGAAAGAGAGAGAAGAGAGAGAAAGCGAGAGAGATACAGAAAGAGAGAGAGAGAGGGATAGAGGATCCAGTTTAGTGGACTCAGCCATTTTTAATCCTAATATACTATTTATGTATTCATTATCGACGTTTTCATTTTCTTCATATTTCCTTTTAAAAAAATTCATTGTTTTTATCCTTATTACCAAAGGATTCACACTCTATTAATTATTAAACAACCACTTCGCAATTAATATTCATGTGCACGACAACAACCTTACAAAACAGAAAAGAAAAAAGAAAAACGAAAAAAGAGAAGAAATAAACACACACACGATAACAACCTTACAAAACAGAAAGAAAAGAAAAACGAAAAAAGAGAAGATAATAAACACACACACGATAACAAAAGAAAAAAAAAAGAAAAAAGAAAAACGAAAAAAAAACGAAAAAATAGAGAATATAATAAAGACACACACACACACCCAAAAAGTCCGTTATTTTCCGTTACGTTTGAAACGGTCTCTCAAAAATGGCGGCTATTTTCGAACAGCGATTCCCGGAGACATTTCCATTATTATCCCCGCGTAATTCCCGATGATTCTAATGAGAAGTATGTTTTGGTTGCGTCGCCGGTATTGCTTTTCCGAAGTCTTTCATCCTCGTCTTTTATTCGAAGTCGATTCCGGTGAGGGGAAGGAGGGGAAGAGGAAGGGGTAAGAAGGGGGGTGAGAGGGGGAAAGGGTTGAGGGGAAGGGGTGAGGGGGGAAGGGATGAGGGGGAGGGGGAGGAAAGGGGTGAGGGGAAGGGATAGGGAAGGGGTGAGGGGAAGGGGATGAGGGGAGGGAAGGGGGAGGGAGGGAAGGGGTGAGGGGTGGAGAGGGGAGGTGAGAGGGGGGAAGGGAAAGGGGTGGTGGTGAGGGAAGGGGGTAAGGGTGAGGGGAGGGGAGAGGGGGAGGAAAGGGGTGAGGGGAAGGGAGGAGGGTGAAGGAAGGAGGGGAGGGAAGGGGAGAAGGGAAGGGAAGACGTGAGAGGGGTGGTGAGAGGGGGAGAGGGGTGAGGGGAAGGATTGAAAGGAAAGAGGTAAGAAGGGGAGGT